GAGGAGAGGAGAGGGAGAGGCTGGCTCTACCACACGGACGCACGAACCAGGTCACTCTTGGTCGACTGATCTTGGTGGTTGGGAGTGTCCATGCGGCCCGAGGTCCGAGGCGGCGAGAAGCGGTAGGTACGGAAGGTCGAGCTAGGCAACGTTCAACGTCAAATGGGTTAACGTCAACGTTCAATCAAAAAATAAAGAAATGAGAGGGAAAGAGGGAAGTGAGAGTGGCCTGGAGGAAAGAAGGATAACGCGGCGAGGAAGGTAGGTACCATAGATAACCGGGATGGAACACGAGAACGAAGAGAGGACGAGATGAGAGAGAGAGAATGAAAGACACGAGACCAAGCTTTGTCGAGGGCAGGCCTTAGGGTACATGCCGACGACGCGACCACACGGGAAGAGAGGAAGGGGTCCAAATCCAAAGAGAACCGGGCACATACTTTATATGCGCCTCAGAACACGCCCACACCTCCCATCCCAGCGTCTATCGATTATCTCCTACCCAGCTGTCGATCCAAAATCGACGCCTGCGCCGACACCGAACCCCATATCCGCACCAAGCCCCAGACCGAGGTCAAGGCCGGCACCGAGCTCGGCCTTGCCGTTGGCGTAGTCGGTAGATCGAGAGGAGCATCGCTGTGTATGGGGGCACCATCGTCACCGCGGTCAGCGACGAAACGACGCCTTCCGTCGAATATTCCATCCCGAAAGACTTCATCGTCAGGCCCATTGCATCTGTTGACGAGGTAGCCAGCATTCTTCGCAGCACATCAGGACATGGCTACTGGCCCGGTATATTGCCATTCGCGTGGAGATTTCGGAGAGTGGTTCAGGGGTGTCGATGACGCATGGTGGCCGTGAAAAAGAAAGCCAGAGAAAGCTCCTGCGAAATCTCTGCCGGACGCAAGCCGACGTTGACGTTGAAACATTGAAGGAGGATTACATCGAGGACAGTGATAGCCGGGGGTGTGAGTATAGTGCGAAGGGAAAGCGGCTGTAAGTTTTAAGGCGGAGGGGAAGAACTTCGCGTGAGCCTCGGGCGTACCAGGCCGGCGTGAGCATGACTCCAAGCCAGGTTCAAGGTCGGTGTGGGCCAGTGAGAAAGAAAAGTCGCTCAGACGACAGCTGGTGATTCATGAACGTATGATGGACGTGAGGTAGACATCCCGGTCTAGGGGTGGATGCCCAGCCCAGAGTCGATTTCTGCTAGTTGCATATTGGACGCAAACTTGAATGTTCAGAGGAAGACTCGTTGACCCTCCAAAGTAGACGTTGCGAAAGCGGTGAAACTGGATATTTGGTACCTGCCGCCGCTCGTGAGTAGCCCAATTCACCATGGAAAACCCAGGCGTGTTAGGCCGCATAATGGTCGTTGGTGACAGCGGCGATTCTTCGAGGCCCACTGTGTCGCCGTCGTGAGAAATCACCACGGAGGCAGTACGTTTATGTATACGCCTATTTGGCCCCGCAGGGCTATAACAACGCCACGTATGCATTCCGCCCTCTTTACGACTTCCACGTAGTCTGTCCTGCGCCAGGGCTCTCCCGCAGCAGTAATCCTCTCCTCAAGACTCTTTTCTTCTCTCTACCACCATCACCTCTGGTATCGCTCTCACCACTACGATACCACCACCATTATCGAAATCACCACCACCAACACACACTCTACAACACCCATACCCTCATAACCGCATTTCCTCACACCACCCCACCTCCCCTCAAACGCACCACTAGAAATGACCAAAACCACATTCATCGATCCCTCCACCCTCTCCTTCCCCTCCCCATTCTCCGCCCCATCCTTATCCCA